TTGCCTGAATAATCTAACATTGAACACAACTTTGTTGTCATACAACCTGCTTTATGAGGAAAAAAAAATATTTTGGTCAGGATTTCTTGCAAAAGAAAACCCACTAATAGCTGTTAAAAGTGTGATAAATCTGGCTTAGGAAGCCCAAACTTCAAGATCTTCTGGTACAATCAAAAGTCTGGATCAGTGGTCAATATTGAGAAATGTCCAGTGTCCTCACTTCTGGGCATATACATCAATGGCATCTTTCTGTAGCAAGGGATGAAAAATACCCGTTATCTTGAAGAAATTATGTTTTCCCATACTGAATGGCACATATTTTTGCTATTCCCTTGCTCTTAGGCCTCATGGAAACATGGACTGCCACAACAGCATAAAACTTTGATAGCAAATACAAACTGTTTCCTTCATGACATGAAAAATGTTCAGCCTTAATATGTGCACATGTTGTTTTCTTGCCTTAAGGCTGTGTTGGACTTTGTGTCCAGTGGTGGTAGCAGCAAGTGGCTCAGTGTGCTGTGGCATCTGAGACTGCACCAGAGCTAAAATGAACAGGAAACCTTGCTCCATTTTAATAATAATAATTTTAAAAAAGAGGGGAAAGGAAAAGAAAGGAAGAAAGAAAAAAAGGATGAAGGAAAAAGGCAAAAAAAATCTGAATGAAAAGTCTGTTACATTCCAAGTTCAGTCAAAATAGTGAAAGCTCATATCAGACAAATTGCCAGAGTCAGAATGGACAAACATCTGGTTTATTCATCCCCAACCACACTAACAAAAATATGATATCCTGTTAGATAAATCACTGATCATCCTAGTTTATCTTGGCAGTTGTGCACCTTTATATTTTTCGCTTAAACAAGGACGTATCAGTACTTTACAGCTAGTGTGCCTTGAGCTCCTGGTTCACAGTTCATGTGCTTCTATGACTTTGAACTCTCCTTTTCCTGAGTTTACCAGCAGACAGCTGCCCCAGAACAGATATGTTTACGTGGTGGGGAGTAAATGGCAGTGAGCAGCTCGGAGTTTCCATTTCCTTTGACATTGTTCAGGAATCCAGGCACGCAGTTCTTGTCCTAAAGCTTCACCTCGTGTGCCTGCTTCTGACTTGGCCCTTCTCAGTGCGAATGTTTTGTTTTGACATTGATCTTCTGATAGAAAGTGCTGACTGGGGAGAAGCTAGTTTCACTACAAGTCAGCCTCAGTTTGTATGAAATTAAATTGTGGGTGAAAAATCATAAAAATAAATAAATAAAACACTTTTTGTGAAGGAATTAAGCAGTATGTGAGGCTAGTGTGGAACCATTTTATGCAGTTATAGCATTATAAATGTATTTCTAGGTGGAGGAAAATTACATTTCTTTATTAAGCATGGCTATGAAATCTGATTAGCTGCTTAAACCATGACACTGACTATCTAAGCTGTTGTGATGCATAGATGATAAAATATTCCCAGATGTGCTTGGCAGGGCAGTATTCCATGACGAGGAGGTTGCAGTAATTATAAAGGAGAAACAAAACCGTCAGAGTGATTTGTTCGTTTGCCTGAACGCTAGAGTGGAATTAGGGACTTCAGCAAATGATATCTATTCTACAGAAAGGAAATTCCTTCTCTGACTTCATATGACTTGACAGACTTCTCATCATCTCTTTTGCCTGATTCCATATGCCTAATGAGAACCTACTACCCCTTTTGTACCTAGCCTGGACGTTTTAGTTTCTTATGCTGAACTAAAGCTATGGTTTATTGGTTATTTGGGAGCTGAACAGAGTGAGGTGTAAGTTAAATAAGTGACCTGTTGAACACTCTATAGTAATCCGGTGTACTTTGCCTGGTGTTAATTTGAAACAAGATTCCCTGCTTAACACTAATGTATCAAAATGAACCTGGCTTTTCATGACCCTCAGGTGGATCTTTTATGAGAAGAAATTGCTTGAAGTTTTTGGAGAAACCTGACTCAGCTTACTTTTGATATATAAGTGCATATTAATAGCTAGATGACCTTGAGATATTATTAAAATAATGTAGTAGTACAGTACTGATTTATGTAATTTTAATATTTAATCAGCATTCTAATGGTTCTTTTGATACCCTAGGACATAAAATAGAAGCATAAAATTTAAACAACAGCTATTTGTAGAATTAGGTTTTGCACTTTATATGACTGTGCAGTGAGCCAGCTCAGAGTGTCGTACTGGCTGAAAATTATGCCTGGAAAACAATCCTTTAGTTCCTGTATAGGTCACTGCCCAGTTTGTGCAAAAAAAGGCACTGGGAATTCACAGCCAGACATGGGACTGGGTTTGTTGTGGTAATCCTCCTTAGTTGACCTGTAATCAGTAATTACAGTTTGCAGACAAATCATATACTAGAAATGATAAGTATCATATGTATGAATTGTTACTTGCAATTTCTGCTGTTTCATTTAAAGCAGTTAACAATTTTATCTCATTAATCTTAAACGTAGACTCTCATGATCCTTCCCATCCACACTCTGTATTTGTTTTTCATTGGCTCTTTGGAATTGTTTTTTATTCCCTCTAATTTGGAAGCAGGAAACAATCTGCAAGCAATTCTGCAAGATTTTAAAATATAGTGGTTGGATGTATTGCCCTGTCTTCTTGCTATTCCCCAGAGGAAATAAAATGGAGTTGGTAGCTTTCATCCAGGCATGGATGAAAGCTTTTATCCTACATCCAGCTTCCTTCCTTACTTCCTGGGGAAAGCTCTGATGTACCTCTCTATATTTCCTCTGCTTTAAATTATGAAATTTCATTCTCTGAGCTGTAGTGTTCATGTTCAAATATTGGTATAGGATATAGGTCTTGGTATTGGTATAGGATTCAGATTATTTGCATATGTCAAGTTTAGGTACATCAGTGTTTTCCCTCCATATCAAGTGAAAGCCTTACAGAGAATAAAAAGAAGAATATGCAGAGCTAAATAGATCAGTGCCCCTGCACACCTTTCCTGGGTGTTTGCTCTGACTTCTTAGCTTGTTCTAGCCATATAAAGGGAGTCTACCACCTTCCTGAGAGCCGTGAAGTACTATGAGAACTGCTCCCTTGCTCACTGGAAGCCTGAAATCCTGCTTTCCTCACACTGGAAATTGCAGAAAGGGGCATCCCACGGCTTTAGAAAAAACAGCTCTTTAAAAGGCTTGGCGTGGAAAGTATTAATTCCCTGGAAACTTTGTTTGGAAGCCAGTTAGGAGGCTGCTATGTATACATGATGGCAATCTCCATAAGAGACAAATTATTTTCCCACCCTCTCAAGTACTTGGTAGTTTATCTGTTGTTTATGTTAAAGATCGATCATAGTTTTGTATTCTTGACTCAGAGTTCTCATTAATCATGCTGTGCCACATAAAAGACTGGAGAAGAAGAATGGGGTTACTGGAAATGTGATCGTTGGCTCTGCTTCTAATATGACTTACGTTCACAACAGCTTTGTTCTTGTGAAATATTGTGTTTGGGTAAACTTCTTTTTCTTTTATTCTTTTTTTTTTGGGGGGGTGGGGGGGAAATTCCATGTTTGAAATGTCTGTTGTTCTTAGGGATATTCAGAAAGAGATAATATCCTCATTACAATAAATTCAGGGCATGCTGATAAGGACACTTGCCCGGTTGCTGTTTCAGGAGGTTTCTGCTCTCTTCCCCCGTCGCCTTGTGTGCTTGGCCGTGCTTCCTCTCCCAGCCCCTCGGGCCGTGTTCTCTGGCAGCGCAGCGCCCTGCGGGCCCAAGCGAAGGGCTGGGAAAAGGCTAGTGTGGAAGAAGACACCGGAGGCCCAGGGTTTCCTAACGCGCCTCGAGCGTCGGCGGGAGGGCGCTTCCCCCTGCCATGGCAGAGCTGCTCCTCCAAGTGGCACCTCCAGCCTGGCCTCCCTGGTCCTCACAAAGGTGTCCAAGACCCCAGGTGCTTTATTGGCACCTTGCAAGCCCCATCAAAGCACCGGTGTCCACACTGCTGGCAAAGGGAGAGAGTGAGGAGCAAACTTACTGATTTTTGCAAGCTGGTGGATATTATGGAGACGTATCAGCTCTGGAATAAGGGAGATGCATGCACACACGCTCACACACATATACAGGGAGAGGGTGCTTGGGTGGCAAGTAGTTATATCGGCATACTTTCAACCAGTGGGAGATTTAATCTATTGGCTTTTTGAAAGGCCATGTGCTCATGTTCATCCAATAAGAAAAGAAGAAATCTTAGAACTAAATTAGAACTTAAAACAGGCAACTGAAATAATTGATATATGGCAAATCAGAGCAAATTTAAATGAAGGCAGTCTCTTCAATGCTGTGTAGATAATCTTCTATTTGTGATTTTACTAAGAGTGCTTTGCCATGCACATTGTAGTTGTGCATAAGTTTTTTTTTGAGTCCTGTTACACTAATGTATGATAATTCCTTGATGCAAAGTCTTCTTATAGAATTTATGTTAATATTATTTTTAACATTAGGACAAGATTTTAAATTTTTTTTGTGTGTTTGTAAATAAACATCTGCTCCAGAAAAGCAAGAGGTGAGCAAAAAAACCTGCAATCTTAGGAAAGTTTAGGTCTGTTATTAGTGATGAAGGAACATCATCAGTGAAATCAAGAAAGAAAGTATAGTACACAGTTCTTATGAGTAAGAGTTTTCAAACATTTTTAATGTGTAATTATATTTTGCAAGTGTGTTTATATAGAAATAATTATTTTAGAGGACCAGTGCTTGCGCAGTATTGGTAATTCAGATTAATTTGTCTTGCTTGTTTTTCCCCCATGTGACTACTCAGTGATTGTACTTATCACGAGTAGAAGAATTTATTTCTCAGCTGGGAATCTTTTTTTTTTTAATCAGACTCAGAAATGTAAATAGAACTCTATTTGAAAGTTCATTCAAAACTGAGTGCTGGTGTATATTTAGGTGCACTGTATGCTAAGGTAAAGTATCCCCTAGTGTTTAACTGAAAGCATATTTTATGTGTGTGTGTGTGTGTGTTTTTTAATGTTTAACAGTAACTGAAGCTGGCTTTGGTGCTGACATTGGGATGGAGAAATTCTTCAACATCAAATGCAGAGCCTCTGGCTTGGTTCCCAGCGTGGTTGTGCTTGTTGCTACAGTGAGGGCTTTGAAGATGCATGGAGGTGGGCCAAATGTAAGTTTTTGCACCTTTTGGGGAGAACAAATTATTGCTAATGTTTGAAATGAGTAAAATATCTTGGTTTAAGAAATAATGGGAATAGATCATGGAGCAATATTCAGATATCCTCCCTGAGTTACTGTATATCTGTAAGCTCCAAAGGCAATGTGAGAATGGAAAGGCACAAATCCGAGAGATAAAAGAGCTCTGAAGAAACACTAAACTTTGCTGAAATAGAGAAGTTTGTATGAAAAATATGTTATAAAATATCATATTCTTTTCCTTGCATCTTGGAATAGCATTTATAAGTGCACTAAAGCTGTCATAAGCTGGGAAACTTGCGCACTGAGGAAGAGAGTTCAGGTTGCAATATCAGAGTGGAGGTAAGGAGCTTAGTGAAGGTTTTGGGATTTCTTTCAGTGCAATACTGGAAAACTCCTTCAGTCCTTCTAATCTGCTCAAGCTAATTCCCTCAGGGATCATGAGGTTACTGATACAACTGTGCAAGTGTCAAGGTCATCAGCGTGTCATTCCTTGCTCTTCGAGCTAGGAGACTTGCACATATCCTAGATCCTAGAAGTGCTCCCCGATCATTCAGTTAGGCAAGCGTTCAATTAGCCAAGCAGACAGTAAAACCCTAGAAGCAGTTTATTTTTCTGCCCAACAGCATGCGAGAGGATGGTACTTCCAAGGAAACAGTCTCATTGTGTGAAAAAGCAGCTGTTTCTATAGCCACAACACTTTGGAATGCACCATCTTCCTTACAGCTAATCACAAAAGCTGAGCTTCTCCTTTTTCAGCTTTTCAAATGGTTGACATAATTACATAACTTTCTATTACCTTAGCCCACTTCTAATGGAACTTTTTTAAGATGATATCCTTTCATACATTTTCAAGGCTTGTTTATTGTCATGTGTGTTACCAGTGAGTCTTGCAAAAACAGGACTTGCATGTTTCTTCATAGCTATCTGTCTATCTGATCAGTCTTTAGAAGGATAAAGTTTTACCTTGGCCCACGATGCATCACAGGCATGTGGAGTACCAGATACTCCAACTGTGGGAGGGTTATCTACAAAAGTGACCAAGACCAACATTATTTGGTCCTTGGAAAATCATTGTAGTACCCAGGTGATACTTTGTGTCTTTTCATCATTGTGCTTTCCAGAAAGGTGAATTCATGGCATGCAGTCCCTCAAGGAATTACAGGACACCCAGTGGTGTCCTGTATGGTTTAAAATGGTTTACTAGTTACATCCTGTATTGCATTAAGGGTAGATCAGTTAACAACAAAAGCATATATGTCTTTTTTAATGTGAAACTGCATTAAAGCTTACCTTCTAAAGATTGAAATTATCTTATAGGAAACTTTTACATACAAATCACTTTGTTCATTTCAAATAATCTAGGTTTTATATTTGTCAAATTTAGTTAACTTGTCCAAAGAAGTCCAGTTTACAACTCCATCCTTTGCCACTCTGCAAGCTTTCCTTTCCTTTCAACCTTTTTTGTCTGTTTTTTTTTCCACATAATGCCAAAATACACAAACTAGTAACAGAGAACAGATTGCTTAAATAACATTGTACCATCTCTGTTCCTTCCCTGACTTGAACTTGTCCTGAACTAAGTATTTGTAGGCAGTCTCTTCAAGCATGTGGATATGCCCTGAAGAGTGACCTATGTCAAATGTGTGTGGAAATGTTCTGAATATACTGCAGTTTTATTCTAAGTCTGGTTTGCTCAGCCTCCTTATCATCTAAAATGGTTGTTTTTTGATTCTCACACTACTGTAACTAAACTAAGATTCAGCAAATATAATTTAAGTTAGTATCCAAGATAGAGAAAAAAATCAGCTTAATCTTCTGCAGTTGTGTTTGGATGGCAGTAACACATTCATGTTACTAAAATAGCCAGACTGGATTTCAAATACAGTAATTTTTTTAAGAAATACAAAAATGGTGTAGTGTTTTTGTTTCTTGGTCTTACAGAGTCATTTTACTCTTTAAAAAACAAAAAAAGAAAACTTTCTACTACTAGCTTCTGAGTCACTGCCTGTATTTGTTGCCCAAAGAAAATGGAAATATTAGTATTCACCTTGTACATAATTTGTGGTAAGATTAAAAAATTCTGTAATGTAATTAAAATTCATAATATATTTGCCAATGTAAATGTATCTGTACTGTATAAATATGATTGTATAGCTGTATTTGCAATATAATCACAAATTTCTAATCTAATTTGTAATAAAACTGAAGTTGGTCAAGCTATGATTTTCTGTGCTCTGGCTAACAGAAAGTAGAAAGTAAGCAGAGTGCCCTTCTCACCACATAGACTATAGCATGTGCTTTTAATTCTGAGGTAATTATGGCTACTTATTATTCCAGGTGACTGCTGGTGCCCCTCTTAAGAAAGAATACACAGAAGAGGTAAGCAGAACTATTATAAAAATTTAGGGAAAAGTGTTTGTTTAAAAGGGACAAAGTAATATGGTGTGTGGAGCATAACAACTTCTCATTCCACTGCGCAGATGGTGTGTGGCCTCAGGGGTGACAACAGCAGGCTCTAATGTGGCATTCAGCACAGCCCCTTAACCGGGGCCTTTCCCCAGCCACTTGGTGTCATAGCTCCTGTGGCTCTGACTGGATGGTAGATTGGACTGAAGAACTGAATCAACTGAAAATATATCTTTTTCAGCAAATTTTCCAGGGCCACTGAGCTTTCCGACCGGTCATCTCTTCGTTCCAGTCCATCACACGGCCTCTCGAAAGCATTTCTGGCATTCATGGTACCAGGGCAGAGCAGTACAGAGGTCAAAATTGGCATCTGAGATGGCTGCGGGAAGGAATGACACTCCCTGAAATTAATGACAGCTTAACCTGTTCATTAAGCAGCAGGTTTAATCTGTTTGTGCTTCTTGTCTGGCATTGGATGTCACACTTCAAACAAGACTGAATTCTTTAAGTTTTCCATGTCTGCGTTATAGACAAAATCTGGTAGTTTAACTAGCTGCTTGTGCTTTAACTGCTGCCGTCCACTCCAGTTTCTGACAGTTTTGCAACCTGATCACCTTCAAATTGAATACACCTCTAATTAACCATTTAAGTTCCTTGGTTTTGTCAGCCTAGGAATGTGTGTTTTATTGCAGTAGAGACAAGGACTATACAGTGTAAGGTGAAAGAGCAAATAACAAAATCTACTAATGGGATGGAATATACATACACTAGGCTGTGCATTGAACATACCTGTATGCCAAGCCCCAACCCTCTACTGTAATTTTTTTGTAAGGTTTGCAAGAAAGACAGAAATGGACATTAATTGTGGAAGGAGACTCCAATATATTTGCACAGTTATTTGTGTCTTTAATATCTTGTGCATATAATAAGGATGTTGAAGTTAATACAGTTTCAGGAGGTTTAGACGGAAAGGGTGCAGTAAAGGTATTGTGCCTTTATTGTGTGTTACTCCTCCTGTGCTGTTACAGGAAAATTGCTGTGCTTTCCATGGGCAATGGAAAGCTCAAAACCAGCAATACCAAAGTTAGTAGTACCTTGAGAAATTCAAAGGCAGTTCTGAGTGGTGGGTTTACAGATGTGTACATATTTATGTACCCCTGCCCTCAGCAAGTGTTTACATTGTGTGATATTCTCAAGGTTTTAAAACCTCCCAAGTGTGTAAGTCTTAAAAGCTCAGTCTCTGTGGCCTCAGTCGTACTGACGTGATGAGATATGTACAAGCATTTGTGGCTCAGCAGACCTTCAGTTAGAGCTGTCTACAGTGTGTGATGTTGCACGAAGGCTCTTCCTGTGCAGGAGCCTGGAAGGAAGGTGAGGGGACTGCTCTGCTTCTTGACTGACCGCTCTGCTGAGAAGTAGGATGAGGGGGTGATCACAACAAGGTGACCAGAGTGGCTAAGGAGAAATAATGATCTACCATTCATCTGGTAGTGACTGCCTTTGGCAACACATCTCTGTCGCACAGATATCTTCTTTGGGGCATCTGGTGGTCAGAGCAGGAGAAATAGGGCAGCAGGCAACAAGGCTGACTATTTTTTGGCAAAACATCCCATAGCCTGTTTTTGGCATCCTTTGTATTTACCGGTGGATGATCATCAGCTGAACTGTCTTGTCGTGTCGCAGAAGTGATTAGTCTGGCAGTCTGCTCACGTGCAAGTTTTGCGCACTGCTTAGTCACTTAAATACGTCTGTTGCTTATTAATTAAAGTAATAGAATAAGCACAAAAATGTTTTGTCTGGAAATATTTTACTTGCCTATAACTGTCAGGATCAGTCCTGTTTATGTTCAGTTTACTTTATAGAAGATTCTTTGGCTGCATAAGAGCTGATGCATCTTACTATTTCCATTCATTTTTGTTTAATTGCACAGAACCTCCAGCTGGTAGCTGATGGCTGCTGTAATCTACAGAAACAGATTCAAATTGCTCAGCTGTTTGGAGTTCCTGTTGTGGTTGCTCTAAATGTCTTCAAGTAAGCCCATTCTTCCATTACTTGCAAGAGTAAATCCACAGTTCAAGCAGGAGGCATAGATGTGCTACCCAAATTACTGCTTTGTCTCCTATTTATATGTATAAAACTGATCAGAGGGGACAGAGGAATTTGAATCAATATGGTGTGACTTTAGGTTGTTTAAATTTAAATTAAGACCTGAATATACTACTGTATTCAGAAAGCTATTATTTAATGTTACACTTCAAACTTTGTCTTTTCTTATTTTTTTTAAGTGGCTTTGGCATGAAGAAAAGAACTATTAAAGAGTTTCTGTTGTTCATCATGAATATAAAGATGTCTAAATCTTTCACTGCTTCTTAAGGTCTTAATAACAGAGAAGATATATAATGTTATGGAAGTACCATGTTTGTTAGTTATAAAAATTATAAAATTATGAAAGTCATAAATATTTGTGCTGAGTATCAATGTGCTATGTATATGTAACAATTTCTAAATCTACTTGCTCTGCAAATGCGCATATAGAATAAGGTTCAGCATATAAGGTTATAAAAGAGAGCTAATTAAATAAAATTATGACAGAGTTGTTTGGTTGGCAGAACCGACTCTCCTGCTGAGGTTGATTTGGTCTGCGAGATTGCAAAGCGATCCGGAGCATTTGATGCTGTACCCTGCAATCATTGGTCAACTGGTGGCAGAGGAGCAGTGAAATTAGCTCAAGCTGTGGAAAAGGCAGCTGGTCAGAAAAACAGTTTCAAATATCTATATAACTTGGAGGTAAGATTTTTCTTTTTTAAATGAATGCATGCTGCATCAGTGTTGGATTTAAAACAAGAAGAATGTTACAACAACAGCCCCTTGGAAAAAGGGATTTGGTTTGGCCTTAAATCACAAAAGTTGAAGACAAAGCACGGTCTCTATGATTTATCTAATCAGTAGTGTAGAATACTTGCTGAGAGTGCCAGATACTTCACTGAATCATGTTTCAGATGCTTTCTTGCTTAACATAAAAGTATATCTATGGGGGAGCATCCACAAATTTTTGAGAGGGCGTTCTCTGAAGATCTCACAATCGAGAAGTTTGTCCTGATAATCACCTAAAATGCAAATGCATTTAATGGGGCACATTGGCCTCATCCTGTCCCTCCCCTCCTCCTGATCAGCACTGAGGTCTGCTAGTGTAATGCACACAGGCAACACATGGGTCCCTCCAGCCACTGGCCACGGACCCTCAGTCTGTGCCAGGAGCAGCCCCTGCCCTGCTCTGTCCGCTGGCACCTGGGCCAAGAAACCCCTGCAGTTCTCAGTGTCACTGAGAACTCCTTTTCACTGAGGTCTCCTTTTCACCAGCTAGCCTGGCTTGGAGTTTGCTAGTGGTCACACAAACACACACACACACACACACACGCAGAGCAGGGAGTGTACCCACACAGAAGATGCTCAGAAATCAGGGATGGTGAACATAGAGGACAACCTGTGCACTTTACTTGATCAGCCCTTTCTTATCGTTTGCTCTGTTGTTCCTGTTCATTTTCCCCACCAAGCCACCCTGATCCTTTCTTCCCTACCTTTTTTCCTTCCTCTAAATACTGCCTAGTAAGTCTTGCTTGTTCTCACAATCACCTTAAAAACTTCCCATAAGTTTTACATACACACAAAATACTCTTCCTGCTGCATCTCATAATGAGTCCTATATTCCTATACACTTTGCAAAGCTTTCTAAGGAAAGAGTTAACTCATCTTGCTGGGTTTCACAGCACAGAGAGTGGCCTCATCCTTTGCCTTGAATGGTCTCCAGAAGGAGCCAACTCAGTGCGCTCTGATTTTCACTGACTGGGCTGTGTGGGTTTCTCCACCTCACATCATTCCTCTGATCCCTGCCTGGTCTTTATGGTCACTTTCTTTAGCTGCTAGACAGATATCGGAATCATAGAATGCTTAAGGTTGGAAGGGACCTCTAAAGATCATCTAGTCCAACCCCCCTGCACATGCAGGGTCACCTACAGCACGTGGCACAGGACTGCATCCAAGCGGGTTTTGAAGATCTCCAGAGAAGGAGACTCCACAACCTCTCTGGGCAGCCTGTTCCAGTGCTCTGTCACCCTCACAGTTAAGAAATTTTTCCTTAAGTTCCTGTGGAACTTTTGGTGCTTCAGTTTGTGGCAATTTCCTCCAGTTCTGTCGGTGGCCACCAGTGAAAAGAGGCCAGCACCATCCTCCTCACTGCCTCCCTTGAGGTACTTATAGACACTGATTAGATCCCCTCTCAGCCTTCCCTTCTTCAGGCTGAACAGGCCCAGCTCCCTCAGCCTTTCCACGCAGGGCAGATGTTCCAGGCCCCTGATCATCCTTGTAGCCCTGCGCTGGACTCTCTCCAGCAGCTCCACATCCTTCTTGTACTGTGGAGTCCAGAACTGGACACAATACTCCAGATGTGGCCTCACCAGGGCTGAGTAGAGAGGCAGGATCACCTCCCTCGACCTGCTGGAGACGCTGCTCTTAATGCACCCCAGGATCCTACTGGCCTTCTTGGCCACGAGGGCGAAATAGATATTCTAACAAAGGGTGGATTAGTACCAAGTTTTAATCCCCACTCTGCCAAGGATGGTGACTTTTTTCCCCCAGTTTTAGAAGCTTTGTCATTGCAGTTGTCTGCAAGGTAACATCACAACAAGGAGAGCCTATTCAGAAGAGCAGCTTGCAGAAAAGGCATCTGAAATCAGGGGTGAAATATCGCTGTGCAGGCAGGACATTTAGAGGAACGTATTGCCAAGGCCATACAATTGATTTCCCAAGGCCTTTCAGAGTATACAAATCTTGATGGGTTAAAATTTGGGTAGTGAAATAGACTTTTCTGGCAACAAGGAAGCCTTGGCCTAATTTCAGATTCTGTGCCTCAGTTGACAGTACTACTAAATTAACTACTTAAGTTGACAGTACTACTTTTTTTAGAAAATATTTTAGAAAGATTTTTTTTTTTTTTAACAGCAGAAACCCTGTCTTCATTCTTTTACATGGATGGAAGTGCTTGTTTTGATTATTCTCGCCAGATAAAAGTTCAGCCTGAGGTAGATAAGCCCAACTGTTGTCTCTCACTCTCCGTCTCCTTGCTGAGACATTCCTCATTTCCATTGCTCCCGTTTTATTCCTTTTTTCCACCTTTTCCACCATTTTTCCAAATGACAGTAATTCAACCAAGTCCTGATAGTATTAAACATTGCCTTCACAGAATAGATGGAAATACCTTGGGAGTAACAGTGCTGTGGCATCTTTCCAGGGCTTTTTGCCCATGTAGCGTTTTTACAGCCAAACAATGAGCAATGTATCTAATTTTCTGAGCTGCTCTAATGAGATGCCCTGGAAACTGAGAGTATCATTTTATGCTTTTTGCATAATAAAATGAAAAAAAAAAAGTTTCTCTCAGAAATGACTTTAGTAATCATCCCCATAGGATATTTGCATTACAGAGATAGCATATTAAAGCTCGATAAATCCCGTACTTAGGCTCTGATGTTACTGTACTTGGTATAATTAGCAGTCTTGCACAAGGAATGAATAGAAGGGATTGGTAGGGGGTTTACAATGCCTCTGTGGAGGAACAAAATGAGACTTGATTTCTGCTTTAATGCCTTTCCCAAGTACATCTTCCTGAGCTGTACTGCATAAGCAGCATGATCTTAGCACAGTGGGAATGAGTGATATGGTTACATTACCTTAATATCCTGTAACATAACACAAATATTACTCACCTCAAAAATATATTGAAGGGTTTTTATAAAAACATTTTAAAAAATTGTAAAAATGTTAACTTATGCCAACAAAAACAGTAAAATGTACACTTAAAGCTTCCATTTCGTTCTTACTTTGCCGATATGGGGCTGAAGCAACTGGAGATCGGAGATTGAAATAGCAGTGCTGTCACTTGGAAAGTATGGTGGGTTCTTTGGTCACTATGCTCATAGAGACATGAAAAATGCAGTCTTTTCCAGTGAGTCCGCCCAGGCATTGCGGGTGTAATGGGGATGTTTTGGTGTGGCAGTTTAGAAGAATGAAGCCTACTACTCCAAGAAGTAACTGTGATATAAAATTAAAGCAAGAGAAGAGGCAATAAAATGAGATGCAAACACATGTTTTCCCCATGTCAATCTGCCTAAAGGGGACACGAGTGAAATGATGTAGTGCCATTCCTCATCTTTCCAGAGATTTCCACGTTTGTCTGATTGCTTGAATACTTTTAAGTTCCGGTTTCCTCAGACTTGATGAGATGTGCTGGTTTTTCTTTTTTCTTCTCCTCTTTGAAAGGTTGAAGGGGGGAATAGTCTACAGAAGACAACTGCCACTTCATTCATGTCTCTTTCTAAGCTTACTCTAGATTTCCTTAATCCATCTCTCTATAGGTATGTTATTTTTGCTCAGTCTGGAAAGCTTCATCAGGTTTTAGTCTCTTACTCTCTACAATGCTTACATACTTTCCATGTGCCTATATCTTGGGAAACAAAGAGCTCTTTGAAAGGTGTTTACAAACGTATGTAATGTGAGAAGAACAAGAAATAGTCTTTTCTACATGGACGGATCTGTCAAATAATTGGTAAAAAGCTGCGCATCACGATTTTATTTTGGGGTTTGTTTAAGCATTTGTACTGTGCTGGCCTTAGATACCCATGCATGCGCTGATCAAGCAAATCTGGATACTGCACGAGCACAGTTGTAGCAGGACTCAGGACTGAACTAGGTGGTCCTGATGAATATCAGAGCATGCTAGCCTAACTAGGAGGCTGTGTGAATGGCTTTATATTCCTTAAGGCATCTCAGTGGGTCTGTTTAAGCTCCCTCAACTGTCTCTCTATGGCACGGTGCACTCTGTTGCGCAGTTGCACTTTTGGCTTCCCTTGAGGTTCTCATAATTTACTCCTGTAAGCAGGCAAGTTTTTTATCCTAGCAGCTGATGCTTGTAACATTTTATTTTACTACCTTTTGATTCTAGCAAAGGTTCATTTGACAAGCAGCATTAGATGCAAATATTTTTCAATAGCTGAGATGGGAACAGGGTAAGTTTCAAGCGTGTTTTCAAACAGTTTCTTTTATGAAGAATAGCTACATATATGATTTTGGGGGTGCGTGTGTATGAAAGGACAATATCCTTTCATGGGTAAAGTACAAGAAGTGACCTTTGACAAATAATTCCAGCATTGTTTTAAAAGTGCAAGAAAAGGACATGAGTAGATAGTAATGCTTGCAGCATTAGGCATGAGGCTTGGGAACCTGGCAAGGTGGGAAGGGCAGTCAGGAGCAAGACTGGGTTTTTTTATATTATAGGCTCTGGAGGTTATAGCATAGTTTAGAAGATTATTAGCAGTAGTAGGAATAAGTATTTTAGTGCAGGGATGTGGAATTTTGTCCATGCTGCACACGAAACCCCTCCTATTTTATTGTTGAATCACTTAATGAGTATTTCCCTTTAGTTTTTGGAAGGATGGGTTTTTGTAAAGGCCTCCTGAACTCTATATGAAGCAATCTGCACTTTATTTTTTTTAGATATATATTCTTGCTACATATGGAAAATATCAAAATATCAGCTCTCTTATCAGTGTAGACTTCCTTTCTAGGTTCACTTTTCTTGAAGTATGTGTCTTGAAGTTACAGCAGAAAGCTATTACTCAAAGTAAGTTGACCGACCTATTAAAAGCAAGTTTAGATAACTGGGGGGAGGATAGGATATGGAAACATACGCATCCCTTTCCCAAATTTCCCTGGCTCCAGTGCTTGTTCCTGGGGAG